ATCGGAAACATAAATAGACCTATATGAGGCAAACAAAGATGTGGTTAAACTTTTTTCCAAAGTTTGCCCGGTGAATAAAAATACGACCATTCGATGCAGAATTAAATTCTGAATCGAATGGACTAGGTTTGATGGACCGGACAAACTCTGGAAAAAAGTTTTTAGCTTACACACAGTTTCTTCGTGCTATAGCTCCTTCGTGCTAGCTTCACACTGATGTTCGATCACCTGTTCTTCCCAAGAACTGATCAGAATTGAGAACATCAAGAGAAATAGTACAGGATGAAAACCCCCACCAATGTACTATTTCACCTCTGATGTAATTTTCGTTCATATGTAACTTGACACCTCGAAACACAATTGTGTTAAGTGCCGGAAGTCGAAATAATGCATTGAGGAAAAGTTTTAGATAAAGATACCATGGTCTCAGTCGTTGTTCTCGATTTGGTGATCGTAAGATTTGATTAAGAACGACATAGAGACATTCGTTCGGTGGATTCCATTCCATTGTGTAGAGCATGATAGAAGCAGATTCATCTTGTGTTAAATTATTAGCAGGTCTTCGACATTTTTGTTTTGCCACACAAGCATGACTTTGTACTTTTCATATATGGAAGTTTAACAGTAACACCTTATTCGATTTATCTGCAGATCATTCGTTATAGATTCTTAAGTACCAATGATATCCATCCAAAAGATGAATAAATAACGCTCGTCGAGGGAGATTCGCATTACTCTCGACTGATTGGGTTATACTTCAGATATAACTTGCCCTTCCAAATGATGCCTCGAGAACGGTCCTCGTCAATTTCAACCTTTTTCAAAACTAACCAAAGAACTGTCATCGTTCTTGTTATTTATGTAATGTCCATTAGTCATGATCGTTTTTCACACATGAAACAGCAGTCCGCTATGAATAGCTACTATGATCCTTGCGTCTTTTAGTAATGCGAAACTCGAAATTTCGACTCAACTATTTTTGCAGTCTTTTTTTTCAATTATTTGAATATTGGACTGCTTTCAAAACTCTTCTGTTCATCCTCACTGAAATGATGTCCCTTCAGAACCCTTTTACTCACTCACAAGTATACGAATACTCGAATAATTGAACGGAAGGGTAGACTGTTGAATTTAAGTTTCAAACTATAGATATTTGGTATTATGACAATCTATGATTGTATACTTTTCCTCTTCTCTCT